GACACACACACACACACACACACACACACACATAAACCCCTGACAACTTCTTATGGCGGACACTATCCATGACCAGATTGGCCCGTGTCCCTCCCTCCCCATCCCCTCCCCACTCTCTTCCTTCACCTCCACTACAATCCCCATCCTTCTTTGAAGGAGGTTTGGACAACATGAACGGTGAGGAAAGAAAGAACAGCTAAATCTGACACAGAATGACCAGAACAAGCAATCAGATGGTAGAAAATCTGAACCATGAATGAATGAACGAACCAACGATTGAATGCATGAATGAACCAACGAACGATTGAACGAATGAATAAATGAATGAATGAATGCATGAATGAATGAACGGCAGGTCAAATGGACAAGTGACTGAATGCATGACGAAGCAACGACGGACAGGTGAACACGTGACATATCTGACCAATCAATGACAGGCGTGGAAATGACCAATAAATGGTAGATACACTGAAGGTATGAGCGTCGCTGGTTGGTCTGTCGGAGACTTCACCAACATGGACAAGTGGCTCAAACAGGTGGAAACACACACACACACACACACACAACACACACACACACACACACACACACAGCCAACCAACCGTCTATCCTTTCTACAACAACAACAACAACAACAATAAAGCGACACGCTCTAGAAAGGGCACTCACACACACGTAACACACAAACACACACACAGAGCAATCCACACACGTACAACACGCACGCACTCACGCACACACAGTCAAGCACTAAGTCGGTTCGGTCAGCATTTCTATCTCTCCGCTGTGCTTAGTAGGAGAGACACAAAGACAAGACGGTCTCGTCTTTATTGTTGTGGTTGTCGTTTGCCCTGTAACAAAACAAAACACATGCCTTAATATAACAACAACATCAACATCAACAACAACATCAACATCAACATCAGCAACAACAGGAACAACAGCAACAGCAGCAACCAATTAATGAATAAACATGGCATAACAAAAACAAGAATCTGTAACTGTTAATTCGAAAATGAAACGGAACAAAACGCTGATGATTATAAAACAAGAACAGGAACAGAAACAGCAACAACAGCAATAAAGTAAAAATAATAACAAGAAGAAGAAGAAGAATAAAAATAAAAATAAT